CGTTCCAGAGCTATGGTCCTTCTTATTATTCCCAAGCAAAATTACCGTCATTTTTTCAGCAAATGTCCAAGAAATTGGCAGACGTGCAACAGCATGGATCTTCAAAAGTTATTGTTAATATCTTTAGTTTCGAACTTCATACTGCGGACTCCCTCATTTTGCCGCAGACTCCCTCGTTTTGAGGGCAGGGAGTCAGTTGGACTTCCTTGTTCACAAGTTAATTTCTACCCCTGCCGGTATACAGTATCTCTCACATTGGCGGGCCTTACGCTGTAGTCTGACAGAGAATGACGATGGAAGTTTGAGAACTGACAGCGATTGACAGTCTCACGGAGCAGATATCAGAAACAAAATTAGTTTTAACATTAGTCTTAACGTTATCTTTTTCTTGTAGACCGTTAACAGAAACAGAATTATTCTCAACATGTCTTTAATGTTAACTTTTTGCTTGTAGACCGTTAACAGAAACAAAACTACTTTTAATATTAGTCTTAACATTAACTTTTGCTTGTAGACCGGTAACAGAAACAAAATTATTCTTATCGTAACTCTTAAAACATCAACTTTTTCTTATAGACCTGACCTCTATACACTGCGTATGAGAAACTCGTTACTGTACTATGTTTCTGACGACAGTCCACGAAGAAATGCAATATTTAGACTAATTTTGTAAACCGTTGTCTGAAACAAAATTTGTCTAAATATTACATTTCTTTTGTAAACCGTTGTCAGAAACAAAATTAGTTTAAATATTACATTTCTTTTGTAAACCTTTGTCAGAAACAAAAGAAATGTAATATTTAGACAAATTTTGTTTCAGACAACGGTTTACGAAGAAATGTAGTATTTAGACTAATCTTGTTTCTGACAACGGTTTAAGAGACAAAGTTACTGTCAACAGGTCAAGACTAATGTTAGGACTAATTTTGTTTCTGACAACAAGCTCCTGGTGGTGTACCGCCCCGCCCCGCCCCGCCCCGCCCCGTACAGCACTCACTTCTGAACTTTCGGGTATTTCATCTTGGAGATCTCGTTCGTCGATTCCGTCTGGCATTCCTTGAGGTGACGCGGCCACGCGTTGTCGACCCAGTCAATCTGACGCACCTGTGGACATTCGTTACGTGACAATGACGGCGACATCCGGGTTCGAATCGTGGGGGGGGAAATCACCTACCATGGTCGGGCGACCGTTAGATATGTTCGAGCTTCGTGCGAAATAACTCCCCCTACCTCCACCCTCGCCCCGCCCCCACCCTACCACCCCCCCCCGACCCCCCCGCCATCGCTCCCTCGCCGGCGCCACCTACCACGGTCGGCGACT